GAGAAGGTCCTCTTCGCGTGATTCCAACACTGTGATCACTTCACCGGCATCAAAAGTAAGCTCATCTGTGTCTTCGGCCGTATAACGATGAGTTGCTCGAACTTTGTACAAAATCTGAAACAAAAAAATTTTCAAAAAGCAACTAATGGTAGTGCGGGGAAGTAAAAACAAAAAAAAAAAAAACAAATGTAACTACGCCCAAACGTAATAAAATGAGTTAAAACAAAAATTCAGGCAAATTTCGCACCGGCTATGGTTGACCAGTTATAAGCTCAAATTTGGTAAGCCGACTGTAGCATCCAGGTTGACCTTGGAAGCCAAAGTGTCGAAGGCGTACTGAATAAAGAAAGCAAGAAAAAAGGAGGAAAGGACGCAAGAATGAGATAAGACGTTTCGGTCCATTAAGTCATATACGTCTTGGTAAAAAAAGTACAAGTGATAGCGCCAACTGACATGTTGATTTTCGCTTAGTAGTAGTAATATGCAATGATTTTTTTTTGTGAGTCAAAATATGTCTATGCTTGGAAACTGCTATCACAGAGAAACTTGCGAAAAGCCGGCCAAGAAGAAGCCATCACAAAAAGTGTTTATTGTCTAAGGAAGGCAGATATGAAAAAAAAGTGCATGCTGGCCTTAAAGACAAATACACAGCGAAAGCCTTTCTAGGTTATTCTTGTGGTACAAGAGCCGGTGTTGCGGTGATTTTGAGTATCATATTCGGATTTCAAAGGCGAGAGAATCGATTCCCTCCGAATTATACTAGTTTCCATGAAAAACATTTGATATTCTTAAAAATTCCTGCATGGTCAACTCTCTCGCTACACCTCTCTAATCAACGATAGCTGCTCCTATAGGAAAGAGGACATAAGCGATACAGATGAGGTAAATTTATCATTTCTGATTAGAAGAAAACAACGAAAAAAAGAAAAGCTTCAAGTTTTTCCACCAATAAGTTAACCAACAAATAGTGCAGTTTCTACTTCAACAAGTCTTGCAAAATAGCACC